GCCACAACGAATATACAAACTGACCATCAAATAACCAGCCGCGAAGCCGGGCAATTTCGAGCCTTCTTTGGTGCGACACGAGATGGGCCGACCGTATCCAGCACACGCTCGACAGACAGCCCAGATGGCCATGAGCAGACCGTGACGGCGAACGACGATGAAATTGAATTACCCGCGCGCGCGCTTGGTCCGTCCGCGGCGGTCGGCGAGCCTGCGAGCCGCGACGTGGGGACCGAGTCTCCTGAACGTCCATCATCGCCGGCGGATATCTCTGCAGACGTACACCGTTTCGTGGAGGGAGCACTCGATGACACTCGAGAGCGTGAGGCTGCAGAGGAGAATGATGAATATGATGGTTTCTTATCGGACCTCGATGATGAGGACGATGTGGGGAACTTCGGTGCAGTTCAAGAAGCAGACGAATGGTATGCGAGGAAATTCGCCGACGCACCTGTTCAGCTCTCCGTACGCTCGCGCTCGCGCTCCCGGTCGCCTTCATCGCATGGAAGCTCGTCGTCGAGCTCTTCACCATCCTCACGTGCATCGTCTCCCGCCGCATCGAATCGAAGCAGTGACCGCGCACGAGCTCCCTCCCTATCGCCAGCTCCCCAGTCTGGCTTGCCCGATGCTGAGGTAGCCGATGCTGATGTCGCTCTCGAACCAGTTCGGCGAAAGCGGCGAAAGTTGGAGGTGCCGGCGCGAGTGGCTCGAGAAAGGCGGAAGGCAGCCGCACGCGCGGCGCTCGAGGCTGCTCTCAAAGACCTGAAGAAGCTTCTCAAGTCTCGGAAGAAGGTTCTCGTCGGTGGCCACAATAGCCTGCAATCTTACCGCGCTCACGCCATCCGGACATGTCTGCATCTGATGCTGAGAAAGAAGCAGCGAATGATTGAGGCCTCAGTCACGGCGGCGTTGGCGAACGAGTTCTCGGAGAGTTGGGGTGCTCGTATGGTCCGTCTGTGGACACGCGTATGGGTGGTTGATCGTCTGCTTCCTGATTCGGACCGTGGCCGGCATGCGAAGATATTCTCTCTGCTTACCGATCCAATCGCTCGTGCTGCAATCAGCTCGTACCTTCGCTCACACAAGTGGACAGTGCGTAACCCGACAAAGCTTCAGAAGCTCCTGCGCAAAGAGCTTGCACCCGAAGATGCTGCCGAGTATACCCGAGATATCATCTCGGAGGACATCCCGCTCGGTCTCAAGGATTACATCGACAACACACTCTTACCTCGCATGCGTGTCAAGCCAGGGCGAATCGGCATCTCTGTGTCAGCCGTACGTCGCCTCATGGAAGCTGAGGGCTTTGCATACACGATGCACAAGAAGGCTGTTTATTACGATGGCCACGAACGCCCCGATGTTGTCGCAGATCGCAACGAGCGCTTCCTGCCGGCCATGCAGGCTTATCGCCACCGCATTCGCCGCTTTAAGATTGGAGAAGTTGATGTCGAAGAGATGCTCGAGGTGCCTCTGGAAGGAGAATGTCGCCTGGTGCTTGTTGCGCATGATGAGATGACAGCTCAGGCCCACGACGGGCTTCGATACAGCTGGATTCTCGAAGGCGAGCAGCCATTGAAGAAGAAGGGTGCCGGGCGGGGTATACATCAGAGCGATTTCATCTGTTCGACTGTCGGTTGGTTGAAGGAGGCGAGTGTCACCCTCGAATACGGCAAGAATCACGATGGCTTCTGGAACGGTAAACTCTTCGTCGAACAGGTACATTTTATCAACTGCCACTGCTATATTTGTATACTGATATGATTACAGCTCAAGACAAAGTTCTTCCCTGCCTTCGAGAAGGCTCACCCGGGCTGCAAGGCTCTTATCCTCGTTGATAACTCCCAAGGCCACTCTGCATATGCAGATGACGCTTTGCGAGTCTCCGAGATGAACCTCGGTCCCGGTGGGAAGCAGCCACGTATGCGTGACGGCTGGTATGTCGACGCGAACGGCACACGCGTCGCACAGACCATGCTTCTGCCAGCTGATTATCACGACGATAAACTCGCGGGCGGACCGCGTGGCATGGAGAGCGTTCTCCGTGAGCGCGGGCTCTGGCCACGCGGGGGATTGCGCAGGATCTGCGACAAGAAGCGACACGGTGGTTGTTCCGAGGACGAAAACAAACACTGTTGTGCAACCCGTGCCCTCTCGTTGCAGCCCGACTTCTTGGAACAGAGGTCTTTGGTCGAAGAGGTGATCCATGCTGCTGGTGAGTGTCAGTTCCCCCAATTTTGTTTCGTGTTCTGACACTTGACAGGTCATTTCTGCATCTTCCTCCCGAAGTACCATTGTGAAATTAATTTCATTGAGTACTTCTGGGGGGCCGTCAAGCGCTACCTTCGCGAGCACTGTGACTATGAGTTTGAGACCCTTCGGCAGAATATGCCGAAGGCCCTCGAGTCCGTTCCGCTCGAGCTCATTCGTAAATTCGAACATCGTGCATGGCGATTCATTGATGCCTATGCAGAGGGTCTCGGTGCGAAGGATGCTCTCAAGAAGGTGAAGGAGCACAGCTCGCGCCGTTACAAGTCTCACCGTCGTATTCCGGAGGGTCTCGCACAAGCAATGGACACTTGATTATATTTAATAATATTTAAATGAATAAAATAATATTTTCTAACGTAAGACGCAAAATCGGGGGTCGTCAATCCTTCAAACCTATAGGATCGACTATCCCTCTGGACAATTTACTCTCCTCGTCAAAAGGAGTCGATTCCGAGCTTCTCGGGTGATTCTGTCAGAAGCTCCGGTGGCCCTATACCTTGTTCGGAGGTAGCGGCCTTTAGTCGAAGCGCACCATAGGCGTCAAAGAAGGCAACCAGTCGCCCACAAAATGCGGAAGAGGCAACTGAGAAGTCACTTCGCGCCTGGTTTCGGCTCTACGCGTATGCGGAGTACGAGTAAGAGCACAAGTCCTATACAAGTGAACAATGTCATCGTCCAGCGACGTTTGGTCGCCGGTGTATGGCCCCAGCCGAACTCTACAAACGATCTCTTGAGCGGCCGGTGACCATAGCCAGACTTTCCAGCCGTGGCGCTCAAGTTCCGAGGTCTCGCTGCGACTCTATCACTGTGCCACATTCACAACGTCTGGAGCGTCGGCTTAGTGTGCATGCAAGCTCATGGTTGTCATTCAGCGCACTCGGGCAACGGCAGCATAGAGCTTGCCGTGGCCCCATCCGCACGACATTCTGAGGACGTGGCAAAGTTGAAGCAGCACGAATACACATAACACATACGGGATGACAACAGGATAAAGAGTGACGCCGCGATCCATGGAACACATACTGATACATAGAGCACGTACATTAGCTTCCAAATGTCTTCCTCAGACACTCTCATTCACGCGCAGGATCAATCGTCGTACCCTGGGGGCGCATCCATCGGTGTACTGGAGCCTCCTGGGCGCCCGGATGCTACTCCGAGTGTGGACGGACTTGCGTATGCAGCTGTGGCCCATCAGCACACCTTGTTCGCCTCCATCACAATAGATGTTAGGACGTACGTAAGCTCTCCTGCTCCTCTTGCATCTGACGCTTCATGTAGATCGCGCGCTCGCGGGTCTTCTCCAGAACGCTAACGAACTGGAACAGAGGTCCGCCCTTGCTCCGTAGCTCGAGACGTGTTCCGTCGCTGAGTCCACCCTCGGGCGAGGGGCGTACATCAATACTCAAATAGTTCGCACCCAGCATTGGCTGTTCGAACTTTGTGGCCAGGATGGACGTGAGGGGGATCGAGAGCGATTGAAGAGGTGCGGTGGTCGATAGGTTCTTCGAGACGAATACGAGCTACGCAAGCTTGAGATCGTAGAAGAGAAGCCAAAGTGTAGAATCATACTCTTTGGTCGGTCAGATACGCACGGCCTTCTTCTTTCAGTTTCTTCGATCCTCCAGAGCCGCCCGCAGAAGCAGTGCCGGAAGGGGGTGCATCAGGGATGGAGACCGTTAGCTCGGCGCCAGAATCGATCGTCAGAACTGTGCTTTCCCTCGGAAGCGGTACGGGTGCCCCGTCGGGACCAAGCATGGCCCAGTTGAGCGCCATGACAGAGAGTGTTGTGGTGGTCGGTGATTAAGGTGAGCGCCATTGTGGCGACGCCGGGTAACAAGGCTTCTCTTGCGTATGATGTATAACAGGATATACAAGGTAAATTAGCGTAATTATCATGGCTACCTGGCGCAATGGTAGCGCGTTTGGCTTCGATTGCCTAAAATATCCTACCAAAAGGCTGCAGGTTCGAGTCCTGCGGTGGTCACTTTTTTGCCTTTCTCCTGTGCCATGAACCCACGTGGGAGCGTGGTTGAGTTCCAAACGCGCTCACGCGCCAGAATCCCGAAGCTGTTGAGACGCGCCTTCGTTGGGTTCCTGCCACTTTTCTCTCGAACCACCACCGTCTCCTGCCCTCGCGCGGTCGCGCATGGCGCTCGTCTTTGCTCAGTCATCCTCCAACCCGCTCGATGTCGGGTCTGGGGACCTGGGCGGCGCGCGCTGGACCGAATACTTGAACTCGGGCGTGCGGGATGCGCGCCGAGACTCAGACGACCAAGACTTGATTGTGGGCGAATACAGGCGACATATAAACGATGTCATGGAGGGGAGAACCGCCACTCCGCGTAATCCCAACCCCAACCCGCGTGCTACCGCTTTCTATCTCGCCGACCCAGGGGCCCAGATTGACTTGGACGCAGAGATGGACGAACATGAACCCACGCAATTGGCTCCCGAACATGAACTCGAACCCGAAACGCGCCCGACCAGATATTCTCCGGGAGAGGGCGACGATGAAGATGACAGCGACCTTAGCGACGCGTCTATGGAGGAGCAGGAGCAGCAGGAGGAGGAGAGCGATGATGAGGAGGAACATACACTTTCCTACAAGTCTCCCGACGACCAGGCGGAGATTGTCGCACAGATGCGGTCACTGGAACAGGCCGTTCCTTGCCTTCCAGAGGACTACCGTTTAGTAGATCGCCTGGGGACGGGAACGTTCTCCACGGTGTTCAAAGCTGTCGACCTGAATCACGACTCCAAGTGGAAAAACACGCTTTGGAACTCTGCTATCGCGTCGGCCTCGTCCAGCAAAGGCAAGGTCTACGTCGCTTTGAAGAGAATCTACGTGACAAGTGCGCCGGAGCGTATACGCAACGAGATCACCATTCTGGAGACTTGCCGAAACGCACGACACGTCTCTAAACTTGTCACCGCGTTCCGTGAGCGCGACCAAATTGTACTCGTACTCCCGTATCAACGCAACGATGACTTTCGCGTAAGTGGCGCATCAGCCTCGCCGTGGCTGAACAGGGTTTGACTCAAAGCGACAGGACTATTTCCGCGTTTTGAGCATGGACGGAATCAAAGCCTACTTTCGCTGTTTGCTACGTGCCTTGCGTGATATACACGCGCGGGGGATCATACATCGCGACGTCAAACCCGCCAACTTCCTGTATGATCCGCGTACTGGCGACGGAACGCTTTGCGACTTTGGCCTCGCTTGCGTACGTCTACGTTCTGCGCTTTTCGTAAACATCACGCTCACACCGCGCAGCACATCGAGCGACCGGGAGCCCATGGACAATGTCTACATACACCCGCAATCAAGCAGTACCCTCATGGCAGGATACGTAGACACGAAGAGCTCGATTCGCAAAGTATCCGATACAAGCAACGCGAAGCTAGGCAACGGCAAGACGTGCGTTCAGACACGGTCGGTTATCTGGAGAAAGATCCGCGGTACGTATGGTCCTATGCGCAGGCTGTTGTGATCTGATTCGTATGCACAGACCACATTCTCGCGCGAACCGTGCGGGCACAAGAGGCTTCCGTGCACCTGAAGTGCTACTGAAGTGTGGTGATCAGACTGGTGGTACGTCTGCGCGGGTGGTGAGTGTCCTTGGTCTGACGTCGTTCTGTAGCCATCGATGTCTGGTCGGCCGGCATGATACTGGCCTTCTTTCTGTCATGCAAGTTCCCGCTGTTCAATTCGAATGACGACGTTGAGGCGCTCATGGAGATCGCCTGTATCATCGGGCGCAAGAAAATGGAGAAAGTGGCCACCTTACATAGTCGGTGCTTACCCTCCTGTGCCAAAACTGTATCGCTCATGTCGCTCACTACAGATAGGACATTCTCCACGAACATACCTTCATTGGACAGCGATGGGATGACTTGGTCAACGCTCATGCGCAAGCTTAACCCAGATGTCCGGACACCACGAGCACCCGATTTGCGTTTCTACCCGTATTATTCAGCACGAGCGACGCCACCTCCCTCGTCTTCGCCGACGTCTTCTTCCCGATCATCACCTGCAGCGCCCCTGCCGCCTTCCCCCTCTACCTGGGAGCGTGACGTCGCCGACGCACTTTCCTTGCTCGAGCAGCTCCTTGAACCGGAAAGCATCAAGCGTATCACGCCTGCCAAGGCGCTCGCTCACCCATTCCTTGCTATCCCCGGGTCCCCAGACGATAACGAGGTGCCGCATCCCGTCGGTGAAGGCCGATGTGGAAAGTGGCATTTCGTCGACGAGGACACTGGCGACCTCATGATCCGCGTACGACCAAGATCAGGGGATGACCTCCTGCAGTACGCATACAAGTGTCCCCAGATCCCAGGCACGGTCATCAAGCGGATAGATGCTGGAGACCCTGATGGTGTTGCGATTGGACCTTCACCGTGTCATATACACCAGCACGAGCCCGAGTTCAGAGTTGTGAGCTAGGACAGTGCGGTCAGCGACCAGCCTGACAGCTTTCTACATCACAGACGCTCTCTTACTGCATAAAGGAGTCTCGCAATCACCCAGGCAGAAGTATACCTCTACATACAATTCCCTACATGTTCCCATCGCATACGAGCATAACCCCGCATGTCCCCTGCATCCTGCATTGCATTCATCCGCTACATTAATTGTACTTTGCTGTCTTTTGCCCCTAAATTGATATGACCCTTCACGCATAGCTTCTCCCACTGCTATAACCCAATATACTGTCTATCATGATAGTTGCATCCGATTCGTAGGACAGGTCGGCGTCATGGAATCTGGATGCCCTGCACATTCGGGCGTGAGTGCTAATAGGGGTTTTCGGCTTACTCGGGCCGAAGTACCTCAGGCCGCCTCGCTATTCTGAGCCTGCTCCCGACCCTCAACTCCCATCACCGAGCGCACCCTCGTTCCCTTCTCCCGCCGTAGAGCGGTGTGAGCGTGTTTCCGACCTCATCATCAATCAGACTGTACTCATCTGCTTTGCCCAGTTGCGTACCTGCTAGCCCTTTTGGGCTCAGAGCATGGCATCAGCCCCACTCGCGGAATCGCAGCCATGGCCGTCGTTGTACAATATAGCCATCGAGCTATTTCCCCATGATAACTGGCAAACACGAGGACGGTATCTAAAGACCTCTGGTATGTGGTGTTTACTTCCTTCATAGTCTACACAGTTGACACGAGCGCGAATAAACAGAGGTCTTCCACTTCATGTTCTACTGGATGCTTGCATTCAACGGCCCTATCTTCTTGCTTGCTGGGACCCTCGCAGTCTTCAACATAGTATACCCTCCTCGCCGGACGCAAGATGTCGAAGTCTCTCCCGCTTTCTCCCATGCTCGGCTACCCACTGGAGCGTCTGGAATGACGAATGTCAAGGGCTCCACGCCGCAAGCCATGCCACTGTCGCCACTGACGCCCCGAAGATCCCTCGATCCATTGTTGCAGCATCATACATTCCCACCTGGACAGCAGCAGCGGGATGTTCGGGACAGAGATGAAGGGCCGGCGTTCCCACCACGGAATATCCGCCGTACACGTGCGACATACGCACTTCTAGTGCTGTTCACCTTCGCCTTCGCGGCTGTCGCATCAGCCCTGCTTGAGAGTTTAGTCGTTGGCTATGTCCTTGCCGGTCTGTACTCAACTGCGCACTACCGCATGTCGACGTATGTTTCACTTTGCCGTTGGATGCGTTCTCGGCTGATGCGTCGATCTAGGTGGGTTCCCTTCGCATGGGCCTTGATCATGGTGTCCAGCAATGCGCTCGGGTAGGTCAAGTACCCATCTCCCTCCTCATTATCTAATCTTATTCGCCAGGATCTTCCCCTCTGTCATCGATCGCATATAGTTCCGTCCCATTGTATCACCCTACCCACCATCTGCCATTGCTGCTTTGGACTTATATTGCACGGATCATACTCCATCAAGTTTCGCGAGGCGTCATTGATCCTCCGGTATCTGATATTCGAGAAGTACACTGGGAGTGGAAGCGGATGCAAGCGAATTGGGTGATCCACCCGAAACTGATACGAGCACGCGCCCTCCCGCAAACGCTCTCATCATCACGTACTGAGCGCGCAGGTACCCGCGTTCTCCAAGCTTGCTGAGAGAAATTGAACATATCGCGAATGGGACGCCTGGCATCTCATACCATACGCAGGCAGACACGTATCTAAGTGTTTGGGCTCATCAGATGCTCACTTCATTAGGCAGGACGCTGATCTCCGTAGTCGGATCTTTTCAATGAACGAGCAGGTGTTCCCTCTCTTGTCTTGTGTCGTCACCCACGATGTTTACGCCGTGTGGATAGGACAGGAGCACTGAGGATCACCTGTGTCCAGTGTGCATATCGGCAGCGTCAGAGGCGACCCGTCAGAGATGGACGTTCGAACGATGCCCCATTCATCACGATGCAGTGCCCGAAGACGCACGATGGGCTATATGTAGTACGAGTCCCTCTCGTAGCCAGCGCTTCTCTAGCTTTTCCCTGCAACGGCGTTCTGCGGTCCCGCGATATGGCCAATGGTTATGTTTTGTCTGGCCTGTTGTCAGCGTGGCTTGTAGGCCCTTTGTATGGCACGTTGTCTATCCTCGTCAGTACAGAATGGTCACTGATTCATGTCGATAGGCATCAAGTGAGCTTCATCTTCGATCGAAGCAGCGACTTTGTAGTCTTACAGGATATCTAGTGTGGTGATGTCCGCCGTCATAGCCCGTAAGCTTTGGCTCCTCCGTGCACGGTTAACATCCACGTGAGTTCAGCTATGCATTGAGCTTCTCCGGGACTAAAGTCGATTCCCCTAGGGCCTTGTTGATGGTTACTGCCTTGCTTATTCTGACTTGTACCGCGCACGCGTTTCTTTATCTGGCCGACTTGATAGATGGCATAACTTCGACATTCACAGCCGGAAATCCCAACTCGGATCCCAGGGTCGAAGCCAACGATTTCTTCCAAAATGCAACCCGTACTAAGATACTCGCCGCATTCTTCCTCTACGTCTTCGTCGTATGTGCCTAAACGTTGGCCTGTGGACATCGCCTGATATTGGGTTATAGAGCGTTTGCAATAACTTGTTCGTGGCATGTCGTGTTCACGCCTGTCTGAATGCAACATCCGCTGATGTTCGCTTAGACCTGGCGGGTTTATGTCTACTGGGGACGCAATAAGGTCCTTGCGGGATTACTTGTGCGTATGGCTCGTTATGCATCACTCGCCCCGGCGGCTCATACATTTGTGATAGGTAAGCTTGATCTTGGCGAGTGTCGGTGCGTTTATTCAAGCGAAGATACCATCTTCTATGCGGGTTAATGCTCACGTAATATCCAGTTGCCAATGCCGTTTGTGGCCACTTCCTGGTTAAAGATCACGCAGAAGGATTTGGCAATGAGGAAGCCGCTGGCAAGAGCCTATTCACTGCAGGATGGATCCTGTCGATCGTCATGCAGGTTGCTGGGGCCCTACTGATTGGTTGGCACTCCGTGGAAACCCCGATAGTCGTCGGCAATGGCGAGCAAGAGAAAAGGAACATCCTCCAGACACTCTTTTATGCTTTCGTAGAAGCTGGCTGTCTGTCTCTGATCACAGAGTTGTTCATGATCGGGTTCTTATACCGCAACTGGGCCGTCGCTCTTGTCTTCCTGGCCGTGCTTGGCCAGATATCCGTGAGTGATCGACAGGCCTGGAGACGATGGATCTTGACGATAACGCGTGGCAGGGCCTGTCTGCGTTAGCCATCATCTTGCGCGAGATCTTCAAGGCTGAGCGGGATTCGTTGAATGGGTTCGTCAACGTCACAAGCGCGCTAGCAGCCATGCAGATGCAAGACTTCTCGCATCGCCGCGGGCAGCGCTCAATCGGCCCTTCGGACATGGAAGACGTTCATGGGAATGCTGTGATGGTCGATATTGAGACATCAAGACACGAAGATGATGCGGAGAAGCCAGTAAGCCCCTACCTGGGCATGCATGCGGGAGCGGACGAACTGACGTCGTGCAAGATATCTCAGAAGTACCGGTCCCGTGCTGTGGGCAAGATACTCTTGCATGATATTGAACGGGAACCGTCCACTTGAATAACCGACTGAAAACATTCAGTGTAGTATTCCCGCGTACCTCCGAGTACGACGATCAAATGAACTGCTCGTAACAAACCCTTAAGCTTCAAGTTTCACGTCATGTATCTTAGTCCCATGTATATTAGCTGCTTCACTACGATTGACATGAGAGTACCCGGGTCGTCGCCCCCCATGACGGTGTCCAATCAGGTTTGTATCGAGACCGCAGACGATAGCCTCTTTCCTCCAGCTGGGCATGATGCTTGACCTAGAAGAGCCCGGTCTCTAGCCAGCCCCTCATGGTAGAGGGCGCGCCCCACACATCCCAGGGCTCATCGACTGGGTGGGCGAAGCCATCAGAGCGAGGGGAGGTTCAAGTGGTCGAGAAAGCATAGAGAACCTTAGCATAGGCCCTGCATAAGCGCAAGACATGCCCTGACATGCCGTGCGACCACGGCGTCCGTCAAAGTAGGTCAAAGCGCGCTTCGTACTGCTTCGTACGACGCGTTGCGCGTCAAGCTTCGAACGCCGACAAGCGACTCAGTATGTAGATGACGCTAGATTGCGCTTGGTGGCGTCTGTATACTACGTGATGACCAAGTGATGGTCGTCCGGCGCGATCAAGGCCGGACGGCGTCGCGGCGACAGCCTTGCGTCGGACCACATCGACGGACCATCTTCCGGTTGAATATCGATTGTACCGTCTTCTTCCCAACGCGAATTCAGTCCGCTCACTCCTTCGCCCTTCTCGCCGAATTTTGCCATGACTATCGCGACGGATGGTTTTGAAATCGCTGTTCAGGATCTCACATTCCACCACAACGCGGCGCACGAGCCTGCTCTCAAGGATATCAACCTTCTTCTACCCAAGGGCTCGCGCACCGTCCTGATTGGCGCCAATGGAGGTGGGTTATGAAGCATGATCCAGCCACCGCGGAGCACTGAACACCCTTCGTAGCTGGCAAATCGACGCTTCTGCAGATCCTGGCTGGAAAGAGGCTCATCTCCGGCGCCAACGCGCGCGTCATGGGGCGCGACGTCTTTCGCGACAGCCCGCGCGGGATCACGCATCTCGGGACCGAGTGGGCGATGAACCCTGTAGTGCGCGGCGATATCGGGGTCGAGCATTTCCTCGATTCGGTGGGCGGCTACCGCTACAAGGAGCGCCGCGACGAGCTTCTGGAAATCCTCGATGTTGACCTTGACTGGCGCATGCATCGCATCTCTGACGGCGAACGCCGCCGTGTGCAATTATGCATGGGTCTTATGGCTCCCTGGGATGTGCTCCTCTTGGACGAGATCACCGTCGATCTCGACGTCCAGGTCCGCGACGATCTGCTTCAGTTCCTCAGGCGTGACAGCGAGGCGCGCCAGGCCACAATTCTGTGTATGTGGTCACCATTTCGGTGCTATGGGATGTTTCTGACTTGCTCATAGATGCTACGCACATCTTCGACGGGCTGAGCAGCTTCCCGACCCACATTGCTCACATGCGCTTGGGTGCATTCGTCCAACAGCCGATTGCCTGGCCGTCCTCGGACTTCAAGGGCGCATCCCTCTACAACGTCGCGCTTGATTGGTTACGAGAGGACATGCGCCTCAGGCGTGAGCTTGAATCAAGTGGGGGACGCAAGGTGCGCGGGCCCCGCCGCGGCGCCTCTACTGTCCCGACCGACTCGGAGACGTTCTACAAGAAGTGAGTGCTTGAACGCTTCTCACATGGTTGTCAGCCCCTCACCATACTGTATAGATATGACTACAGCCACTAGTTGGCTACGTCCAGACGGCTCACTCTCAACGCTGTGACGTCGTCTGTTCCCACATAACTAGCCTTCCACAGGCGCCTTCGCCTTCACCAGGCCATCTGCTGACGCCTTTTACAGGCTGCTCGTCTTCCACAGACTAAGCAGCGTCATCAGGCCGACGGGCGGTCTTGCCGACCCCGCTTCGTATTGCTCGAGCGATACACGGCTATATCCTCGCCGTCACCTGGCGCCAGAGTGGTCGTAGCGGATATCGGTTGGACAGGCTCGCGCGCAACTGTCAGAGCTCGTACATATCCACGTGTATACATCATGAAAGATGCAACCATGGACTAGAACGTCGAGTCCGGTAGCTTTCCCATCGTTGGACATCTGTCATTTATAAGCAAATTGCACCTTTTCGCGGTGCCGCCAGTTCTCATCGGAAGTGCATGCGTGTATAACGGTACATCAAGTTCGTGTCTATTACAGCACCCAGTGAGATAAGGGAGGCACAGTCCTGACTGGCTCTTTTATGTCCTCTTCTGATGCATCCTGGAAACGCGTCGTCGTGGTGATGTCTACAGAGACCTGGGGTTCCGATGAGTAACGCAGGCGAGGTAGGGATATAGATGAGCGGCGCGTATGTATGCGCTCGTTGATCAAGAAAGTGCTTGTTGCATTGACGCGCTGGCGCGCGAGCTCTGCATCCGTCTTCCAGCACTCGCGGAGTGTGATGGTCAGAGGTACAAACGCCTGTGCGAACATTCGTCAGAAGATCGTTCATGAGCCAGATCTGTGTGGGTACGTACGGATATTTGACCTAAAGAGAATGTGAGGACGTAGCTAGCCGTCGATACGGGGAAGGATAGCGAAAGAGCGAGGATGGTTATACAGGTATACAAAGCACCGCTGTCCACGAAGACCCAAAGGACCAGCCAAGGGTCAAAAGTGCGCGGTGCGGCGACGGGAGTTGACATGATTCGCCCTGGGAAATAGTCAATCGATCAAGCAGAGCCATAGGTTTGGGCCTGGCGTACATCCAATGATCACACTCCCGCTTGTCTGTATGACTACTGACATCGCCCATGCAGTGACGGTCCATGCGTGAGCTTTGCTTTCTGCTAGAGTGCGAGCCGAGGTGAATGATATGAGTGCGGCGATACTGGCACCTGGAAGGTGTCAGCGAACACCTCAAGAGCGAGTCGTGCAGTGCATACCAGCGAACGCCAGGAGTAGAGAAGCCTGTGTGTGAAGCGTTGACAAGCAAGCGCCGCAGAATGAAAGAGGAGGACGCACGTAGCAAATGGCAAGGATCTTGTTATGATTGCACATCACGTACGCTCTCCAAGCCTGCGAAGGAGTCAGGCGACAGGGACTGTGGAACAAGCTGCATCATGAACGTTACCATGAATATGTCCCCGACGTGAACCTGCGCCGCACATGAGCATTTCATACGGATAGTGGTGAATTGCCTGCAGACTCACATTGATAGCGTACACGATTAATGCTGCGACCACAATTGGTCGTCCTGCATCCAGAAAGTAGCGTAAAGAGTCGTCGCGGGTGAAACCCACTATCAGGTCAGATAAAGCAAGCCCTGCGTGTGCTGTTGTGGTCACTGCCAGGAGGAAGATCGTGCATAGTAGCGCGCTGTCATGGTGCTTGAGCAAAAGTGATGCATAACATCATATCCCTGTGGACGACGTACCGAGTAACTGTGGAGAACTTCCATTTGTGCGTTGAGAGTCTATGAATGCAGATGCATATGAGAATGATGCTGTTGTCAATCAGAGGGTTGGCTGAGGTAGCAGGCTAGGGCGTATGACACGCACTTGGCGCCTGTGCAGCAAATCTTAGTACCCTCAGCACGGTCTAAGCCTCGTCCGCGTACCGTATATAGGTCCAACCAACCAAGCTTCGAGCAAGCTTGTGAGTCGGGGATTCAGCATAATGGAACGGCCGAGGCTTTACCCGCCGGGGCGTCGCGCGGGGAATCCAACCTCTACTCGGGCGTCCGCGGCCAGCTGTATATGTAGCTCCCGGAAACAGATGAAGGCTATCGGAAGCCACAATAAGCTTCTGAGACTGCCGTCGCCATCTCGAAGGCCCCGTGTCCCTACAAGGGAAAATCCACAGTCTGGCCGAGAGCGGTGAGCGCTCGATCACAGGGCGCGCACGGCGCGTGGACTTCCGAGCTACCCGGCTACACCTGTGTACCCTTGATATCGCCTTGCGTCAAAGTCTATTATAGCGCGCGCGATCTCGCCAAACGCAGAGACGGTTATGGATACGAGCCATGCTGTCCATCAATGGCTTTGAACAGAGGAGTTCGCGCCACGGGAGCCGGCAGCTTTGCAAGAAGCCTGGGCGTGTGTTCTCAGCGCTCTTCGGACTTCGTTACGGCGGATAGACCGACCTGTTGGCAATCGTTCTATGTAGATGGCTCGACATACTGCAGTTGAGCAGACATCAACGCTGAGAGCTGAGAGCTGAGATCCGCGTCGTATACTTGCCGGGACAGTTTGTGAGCGCTTCTGTGCAGGCGTCGGATACCGGAAATTTCTCATCGGGCTATGCGGCACCGTGTGGGCACCGATGACATCGTTGTGCCCATCGATTTATCCAGGAGAGAGGGCGCCTTGGACCCGAGAGTAGTGGTACCTCGACTCAGTGATCAGGGCAAACAGTACTTGGTGTCAACTCGGCGAACAGCTCAGGCGTGCTTCCTGGCGTATGAGGATGTCGGGTCCTTCGCAGAGAAGCGTGGCCTAGAACTATACCCGTAGACAACCACGGATATTCTTTGTCCCCGCCGTACTTTAGGCGCTGAGCTGCAATGTGCTACAGCGCGCACACTGGGGTGGACGAAGGCAACCGGACACCCACACTTGGCAGCCGGGGCTACACGGTCATCTGACTTACGCGCCTCGCCTGCGACAATCCCAAGGTAATAACAAAAGGATGAATGACCTCGAGATCGTTGCATTACATGTCCGGGATCTACATAGACTACTCGCTGTCACATGGGGAATGCAGTGATATACGCAGCGTCGGATCAGATATAATAGGCTACATAGTCCTAGGCTATTGCATCGTACCGTGGTAGAGAGTCCGAGCTACTATTGGTGTCCTCGAGTGCCGGCTCTGCTTGTCGGCGACCAACGTTGGACGAGCGCATGAACCCCTCCAACTGTCGAAACATCGCTGACGCTGCAGCAATATCGATCATGGGCGAGTGTTCCACCGAGACCTGCAAGTCCTGCGGTCTGGGCGAACCTTGTCTCTCTGTACTGCGCCTCCCCGGCATACGCGTGTTGTTTTCGACGGCTTCCGTACGACCAATTATCCCCTGACCTCCACTCTGATGCAACCACTTGTCTTCTGCCCGCATCCTCGGTAAAGAAAATGGATATTGAACGACCGTGCTCGCCAATGGGTCCTCGTTCGAGCTGGTGGGACCAGCGCGCCGCCTCTTGAAGAAGTAAAACAGCAATGCGAGCAAAAGTGTTATAACCACAACACCACCCGCCGTTGCACCTCCCACGGCTACAGATACATTGACGCCAGAGTGTGCTGAAGAGGCCACAGTGATTGAGGGCAGCGGTTGGCTAGATGACATCGTATTAGGTGTGTGTATCACCGGAGACACAGAAGACGGCGGTGTTGTGTGGATCGTCGATGTTATAGAAGGAGAGGATGGCGGAGAGGAGCTAGTTGGACGATACCAACCGGAAGGGAAGTCGGGACCGCCTATGCCAAATGTAATGAGACATGTCACCAATCTTGCCATCATGACGTAGTACATACCGAACGACTCTGAAGGCCAGGAAGGAAAATTCCAGTCTACCGGTGACGACGTCGAGGATGTCGTACGTGCAGTAATGGCTGTAGATGGGCTGATAGTTGTACTAATCCTGGTTATCCGTGAGTGATGTGCAGATCCTTGGTATATTCAAGTGACACGTACCCATTCATCTGGACGGTCGAGTAGACGGATACCCGGGATGTGACGAAGAAATAATCTTGCTGTCGGGATTGAGAGTTCAAAAGATGGATACAATGACGTGTGCGCGACGCACGATACAACGTGCCGTCGGGCGGCCCTCTATCAAAGGAAATAGCGGAGAAGCGAAAGGAGTGTCAATGTCCGGTGAGTCTCAATAAATGAAGTTATGCCGAATGAAGCTTGAAGCGCAGTATTTGTATGCATGCACTTCGTAGCCAACGGGCTATAACCCGAGGATCATCGCGGCAGTCAGTAACGATCTCCTATTGTTCAAGTCGCTACTGTTGGCGGGTTGGCGGGCAGTGCACGTGTATGCTTCGCGAAGCTTCTCCGGCTGGACCATGACCCGGATTCATATGGTGCACGCACACGACAGGACAGGTATGCATCGGATCGTTGTCGCATGTTGTATACTGAACGGTGATATCGGTCCATGTGCGTCTAGGGTATGCCGTATCACGACGATCCGCTGTCTCAGAGAAGGCTCGAGGTAGTTATCTAAGGGGGGATCCTACAGGTGAACAAAATCTGACGCTTGAGCACGGTCAATTATATCGTGGCCATCCAGAAACTCGCCGAGTGGATGAGTATGGTCGAATCCCGCCTGAGCAAGGTCAGCAAATTACTGAAGGCGCCAGGCATCAGGCGTTGTGATGGTGGGAGGAGCGTGAGTGGCAGAACGCCGCGTCGTCGCTTTGTTTCCATTGTCTGCCATCATCCTCTCATCCACGCGGCGCTGTAGCCATCATACTTGCTTTTTGATCAATGCAGATTCGTCCACAGCTGGAGCTTATAGGTGATCAAACGAATGACGGCCTGTATAGGTGCCTACTAGTTGCCCAACTAAGAATAAGGATGGTACGTGTCACTACTCTACCGCGTATCTATGTACGAACGCCTCTTCGAGCTCACTCACTGGGCGCTCACATCATACTTGTCGTCAGATGAGCCCGTAGCCACCATCCCCCCTGGTCCGTAAGGGAGTTTGGCTTCCTGCCTATGGTCGTCGTGGTATGTGCGATGTACGGATACCTCAATCGGCACCTGGACAGCACCTCGTGGATTCATCTCGAAATCGCGCGAGTGCGGCACCGAAGGCTTGTTGGCGGAGGGTCTGCACAGAGGTACCTTAGCTGAATGGAATATATGTAGTGATCAAGGGCACTCACACGTAGTTGTCACTAAAGTTGGTCAGAGATCGGTACATACGTGTCGCGGCTATGACCAGTGCGACAAGCTCGGGTATGGTGAAAATCTGCGCCAAGCTTAGGGCCGTTTGAAGATTTAGAGCATGAAAACACATACCACATTCATGGGCTGGTTCAAGTTCAACCACATGAACGTGACGGAAGGAATTTCGACGAGCATAACTAGGAACACCCAGAAGACACCCTGTTGAAAGCGAACATCAGGACCGTGCATGACTGGAACCCTTCGATGGCCGCACCTGAAGCCACAGAAATTTCCACAGGCCGTGTCTCCTCGCGTCATTTAACTGCATGAGACCAAACAGCATAAGACAGAGTAAAGTCGTGTCCACACAGAGGGTGGTTGTGTAGAACATCCTCGCAGTCTCTGTATCGCGTTCAGTCTAGGAAGTCGAAATACTGGAAGCAGCACGGACCAGTATCATCGTATGCACACCCTAAGAAGTCGCGAGCTTGTAAGCCGTCTTCAAACACAGAGACACGGATGACTTACCACCAGCTGCTGGATCCCAGTGCGCGTGAGTCTGTAGGAGAAACACGAGTCAGTGAACCATCCTGATGGCACGGGCGTCGTCCACGGACAAACCTGCGTGGAAAGGTAGATGATGAACGAGAATTGAGTGAGGAGCGCCGCAACGATCACGGCTAGAACGGGTGTAGCTCGCCGCCAGATGGCCAGTCTATATCAGAGTGTCAGCGAAACGAGAACACTGGACTAGGGTGACTCGGAGACGTACACGCGAATGGCGATGAGAACGCTGGCAAGTTCGAAGGCAAGGAATCCCAATATCTGTGTACGCACGGCTGTTGTCAACGCAAGGTAGAAGAAACACGCGAGAGTCGAGTCACTGACATATACCGAGAGTAACCAGCTCTGGCAATCGATCTAAGAGCCATTAGACAGCGTTGGACATCGTCTTACGTAGTTCGTGGCATACCTCAGTTGTGACATTGAAGCCGATCAAGACAGCGACGAGTGCAGCCAGACATAGGTACCGGCATGCAATATAGCACTGCAGAAGATTATAAATCAAGCAGGGCGCACAATAGCTTGCGTATGGCTTACAATCTTGGTCAACAGTGATCGTCCTGGGACTGGCTTAGTGATCAAATGCCAGTCGTAGGCGAAGCTTGACACGATCTCCCAGCTGCAAACCCGGCGCTCAATCAGACGGGAGTCCGTAAGCCCGCAGAAACGTGGACTAACATGTACACTCCAGTTACAGCGTGCGTCAACTTGACCGTCGCGACTGGAGCACGTAGTCAGCAGATTGCACTTGACGAGACGACAGAGAGCTCCACGTACGCGACTGATTCTGGATAGTCACAGGATCGCTCCAGTTAACCATGACGGGGATACGGGCAGCCTGGAGTCTACAATGAAAAGTCCGGGATATAAGAGGTTTGCGCCGTAGGCCAGACGACAAGGAACGCAGGCGCAGCAACGCCCCGCACACGCCTTTAAGTACGTTCTGCCCCGAGTTCCACCTCATGATCCCAGTGATCTACTGGATATGAGCCTCGCGACGCAAGGGGTATGGAAATCTGCCGCGAGTTCGCCGCGAGACCATCGGGGATATGGGATCTCGTATATTGGCTGTATAGACTTCTGTTCGTGAAACGGATATCAGACTCATCAGTCGCGCCCAGTCTTTCGGTCTGGACTTCGGCGATTCCGCATCCTCGCTTAACGAGGAGAAACGTGGTATCCCGGCGCCTACTCGCGTATTTGATTTTCTACTGAAGAGGTCGATTGCTTGCGCCCGCATAAAATTGGACCGGTACGACGAATTTTGTTCCGACCGCCACGGCACATGATGAAACAACTCACACCGCTGTCCAACCTTGACGGTAACTATACGCCGCCGCATGAGCACCAAGGAGCGTTTGAATTAAGCAGAAATTAACGAGCGACGTGTCGGGCAACTATTCCTATTCAATGGATCAAATAATGCTGAGTTTCATAGGCAGCTTTGGAGAGCGCTCCGGAGCGCCCTTCACGCTGGGAGCGATGATGTTCCCGAAACGCCACTCGACTTCCTCCTTCTCGGAGGGCTGGAAGCGGAAGGTCGACACAAGCGCGGCGACAACCATCTTCATCTCAAGCTGTGAGAACTGCATACCGATGCATGCACGCCCGCCGCCATAGAATGTCATGACGCCTTTCCCGAAGACAGCGGGAAGATGTGCATCAGTCACAGAGTCGGGTGTCGGCTCCAACCAGCGCTCCGGCCGCCAGACTTGAGCATCGGGGCCCCAGATCTCTGGGTTGGTGTTTGAACCGGCGACGTGGACGAAGAAATCAAGGCCCTTGGGCAAGAACAGGGACTCGATGAGGTTACCGTCCACACCAATGATGGGCTTGCTGAGAGGGACGACGATATCATCCTTCACGCTAGACATAGACCATGAGCGCAGTCAAAAGAGAGAGGTATTGAAAATAACGAACACGCGAGGCACAATCTGTGCAGGGGCATACAGCCTAAGGGTCTCACGGCAAACGGCGTCGAGGTAAGGATGGGAGATAATTTCGTCGTAGGACCAGTTTTCCCAGCCCTTGAGTTCCTCGCGAAGCCTGTCCTGCACTTCGGGACGCTGAGACAAGAGATCGAAAGTACGAGCCAGGCCGGACGAAGTGGTGTCAGTCCCGGCGAAGATCATGATACTGTGCGTGAAAGCGGTTTTCAGTTCATGAGACGGAGCACACAGTGAGAGACAGCTGACCCAATTTGCGCGATGATCTCCTCCTCACTCAGGCGATCTTCCTTCGACGCCGCTTTGTTAGCCCTCCCTAAGCCTCATTAGAACATTGCCCAAACAGCGCAGCCAAGGTAACGCACACAAGACGCTCAGAAGGTCTTTGCCATTGCCAATCTGCTCCACCACTGCAGAATCACCTTGCGCGAGTTTGCGGTCCTTGTCTTCCCAAATGCTCTTCGCCGTTGTGTGCATGACATTTGAGACGTCCATGAGCTTGTGGAGACCAGGATGCGGCGTCAGGCGACCCAGCACTTGGAGAATCGGGCCAGGAAGCTGGTGAACATTGGTGGCAGTTAAAGCAGAGAACGGCGCCAGAGTGGCGAAAGCAGGGCTTGAGACTCGTTAGCTCGCGAGTCAACTCTGAAAGTCAAGCACGCACACAAAGTCCTTCAGGGCGCGACAGTAAGGGTGCCCATTGGGATCCTTGATAGCATTGAAGGAGTGGCCGACAGCGGCTTGACAGACGGCCTCAAACGCCACGCGACCGGACCAGTCTAGGACGTCGACGTCTTTCTCACGGTCGTCCTCGACCATCTTCTTCAATATGCCACGGACCTGGCAAGATGTAAGCACATATTGATGAGCATTACGGGTATCCATTTTACCTCGAGCGTCAGCGTGCGGAAAAGAGGAACAAGATCGCGGAGATTAGCCGTGGAAAAGACGGAGCTGAAGATCTTGCGTTGCCTACGATGCGCGAGGCCTTGAGAGATATTAGACGGATAAAGACCCACGATGAAGCACTGCGCGCACCAGTAGAGGACAGTATACCGGGGCCGAACATCTTAGAAGTCGCACTATAAGAAATTAGCATATCACCATAGTCAACGAACAGGGCTCCACTGACGCTAGGAAGAAGTCCGTCTCTTCGAACATATGCTGATCGCGCTGGACGATATGGTGAATGGCCAGAGGGTCAGATATCCACAGTTGCACGTCCTACCCCAGTGATTAAGCAATGCAACAATCTCATAGTTGGCCTCCAGTCGACGTACTTTGAACAGGCCATCATACTTGATGACACCGCCGTATTTCTCGGTCAGTTTGGTGTGGAGCGGAAGAGCTCCCTCCGTATAAAGGTCTAGAAGGTTTCCTAAGTAATGTTGCGTTGTCAGCTATACTGGCAGAAGAGGAAGGTACGATGTGGGAACGTACCGGTAATGAATGACGGGCTCGGCGGAGCAGGTAAGTTACGCAAGGCGCGACGCTTTCTGCGGCGCGAGATAGTCGCCGTGCCAATGACGGCCGCGAGCGCCGCAGCGACGCACAGCGAGAAGATCTTGAACATGCTACAAAAGCACGGACAAACGGGGAGAGAAGAGAAGAGCGTTGATAACGGGGCGGGAGCTGCATTCTGGTATATAACACCTTCGTGCGGTGGACACGGGTAGCGCGGCGTGCCTAGCCCAATGGCGCGGCGTATATTGCGTTGACCAGGTGCTTTACCGCAAAGAGCCGGCCGCGTATGTGCTTGGGATCTGCAGATGCGTGTTCTGATCTGTGAAAATAACGAATAGACCCCGTCGTCTAGCGTTGTCGGTGCAACGGACTGCGCGGGCCTGCCATGTCGGGCAATTTGATTGTCGGCTATAAGAGATCGCATAGTCACTGCGGCACCGTATGGCCGAAGATTCGCGAGCTACGCCTCGTGTTGAGTCTAAACAGTGTTAGCCGAGGGAACGCTATAGGAACGCGGCCATGGCACGTACTCGTCTGCTGCTATACGCTCTCCGGTAATCGCATGTACCTCCTTCATCTGCCTGAATACAAAAGCACTGCATGCTTTGGGGCTCCAAGGCAGTCAAGTGGCCAGTTGAAGGCGTCTGCTCGTCGTGCCTGCGCTCTCCGAGCATCACTTGTGGGCCATGTCGAACCTAATTGCAATCTTCCAATGGCCCGTACATGAGCCGGAATTGTGTGAGGCACTCCTGTCGGTTGTAGAGCTCTGGCATCTGAGATTGATCCCTCTGAGCGTTGCTGATTTAGAAGGCTAAGTTGCGTGCAACGTCCGAATAGACGTTGGCAGATGGTAGTGTGGCTGAGATGCGGTCGTTACAACAATCATATCGTCTTCACTGGAGAAAGATAGGGAAGGTGAGGAAGCGCGTTTGTCTGTTGTCTGCGTGGGGGTCGGGTTCAACATGACGGAATTCGGAAGTTCGGGACCGACATCGTACATCAAAAGCTCGGTCCCGCATTCGGCCATGGCCGTGCGTCTTTGATGTGATTTTCAGATCGCGCATGCTCTCACTGCCTCATGTGTGTTGAGTTTGGTTGGTTGCGCCTACGGTAGCAAAGTCAAAGGATACAGAAGTGGGCGTTGATAACATCGTAATGAACATCCAGAAGCGCTGGGGTCAGGTGTCCAGGGCGACCTACGCGATAGTGTAGAGACGGTTAAGAAGCAGTAGAGCGGTAAGCTGGTAGGGTCTCAGAGTCACAATAATCTGGCGCGGAACGTACAGCATCGCTCTCTCCGTCCTCTCGCTCTCCGGGTCCACCATATCCCATACCCCCTCCATACGCCTTCTCGTCCATCTGAGAAGACGTTTTATCGGATTGGGACCTCGAGAATGGATCTACTGGTACGAGAATAGCTTTGATCGTGTTTCCTGCGCTGATCATGGACAGCTCTTCCGGGACACGGACGGTTAGGTGTTGAGAGTTTTGATGTTGTCGCCGTCTGCGTCGCGAGAGGATGAAGAGGCTAAGGAGAAGCAACACTGATACTATTGCACCGGCTATGACGCCGCCAATGACACCCGCGGAGATGCCATCGTGAGAGGAGGCGGTCGTGTCGCTTATGCACGTGAGGGAGGTGCAAGCATTGCAGCTCCTAAACATATTATAGTGAGAACGTGACAGTATGTGAGCAGCAGCACCTGCTTACTGAGAGATGACGTAGCATTGTTGCTCGCCTGGGCAATCACAGGGAGGTGCCGTCGAAGGGCAAGAGACGCAATCACGGACCCTGTGACGCAAAGGGTAGTCCAGAATCATGTCCGCTCAAGTGAGTGTTGAGCAAGTTTCTTAGATCCTATACCTGGAACAAGAGTCAAGGTCAGAGAACTCCATGAAGGTGGCTGAGAGGTTATCTCCCTGTACATACCTCTCAGTATAGCGCTACGTCAACTGGGGGGTGGGACAGTGGGACAAGTGCCGACCAGATCCTTCCTTAAATACTAACCATGATGAATAATCTCTACAACTCAGTAGTAAATATCACTGCGCTTGATAACCCTCAAACAGGTGGCCGTGGTTCTACGGAAATAGCAATTCATCAGTACTTTACAGCCAGGAGGGACGCAAGCGACCGTCAGATCGCGAACTCGTTAGCTTGAGTCCCCTGACTATCATGTATAGAAAGACGTGCGAGCATATCAAGTATCATCACACACCAGAACTTCTCGGCCCCTGTTAGTCTGATAAGCCACATCCACGGCCACGGCCACTGACCGCATAACAGGATGGCTCTGCTAAGGTTTATCGTCCCAACAAATTCCTTATACTGACCAACTTCCTCAGAAAGTCTACGCCATCTTGCATTCGCACTCTGATGAGTGAGCTGAAGAAACAGCAAGAGCGTTCATCGTGTAAGTGGTGGTAGCATTTCAACGCATCCGCGAGGCGCGCACGCGCGGGGGCCCGCGGCAATCTCCGTGCCCACGATCCCTCAGGCCCGGGTCCTCCTTGAATTCACTCACCATTCCGACTTGCCTCTCGTTCGGGTCCCGATAGCATTGCCGGAGAGTCATCGGATGCAATGTTGTGTTTTAGGATATTGCCATCGAACGGGGCGGGCAAGCGAAGACCGGGTGGGAACGAGTGAAATTGCGCGTAAAGCTAGCACTCACAAGGACCATCCACGGCGACTGGGTGAATGTGTCGGTGAGTAAGGCAAGATAGGCGCTAGCGAGCAGTGCATGCGCAGTCTGCCGCGAGACGAGGCCTTATCGAGCCGTTGCTGACTGGAAAGTGCGAGCGTGCACGACCAGATCCCCGCCACGGGGCTTTGCATCTCTACCTGAGGCCTGGGCGCTTGAGCCATGAACCGGCGGGACCCGCGCAGCGCGCTCGTGTAACTTTGAGCGATCCTGAGCAGCCGCGCATGTCTGACCCCCGACATATGTGGGCCTATACTACTCTCAACGTAACATGGGTTACACAGCGTCGCCCGAGGGTTAGCCGGCGATCATAGGCTCAATAGAAGAAACATGGTTCCATCCTCGAACCACAAGCCCGGCTCAAGCCTGAAGTTTGAGTATCGCACCGATGGCACGTCTGCGTCTACACTAACCGGCCTGTAGTCGCAGTGATCAGACTTACAGTACAGTGCACCGCGACAAGGTCAGGTGGGCAGAAGGCATATAATCATAACGCACAACATAGCGACGGCGTTCTCACCGCCAGAAGAGAATCTCGATCTTGGGTACGTCGTCACGATGCGACAGATCGATACGCCGGAAGAGTCTCTGAACGATCTGAAACTCGATCTTCGGTAGGAGGAGGGCCCAATGAGTCGCTTCTCCCGTCTGCACGGACTACTTCCTCCCCCAACATCTCGCCATCACCCTTCTCATCCAGGAGAGGTATAGTGGCGTAGGACGCGAACGGATCTACAGGGTGTAGAGTCACTCTAGCAGTGTTCCCGGCGCTGATCATGGACAGCTCTTCCGGGTGAGACCGTCGTGCCAGCCGCCGCCGGCGCCGATGGAAGAAGAATGCAATAGCCCCGACGAGGAAGAGTATCGCGATGCCACCACCTGCGGCCCCTCCAATAACACCAGCCGAGACGCCACTGCCATGGGCCTCGGTCGAAGTGCGTGCAGAAGGGTTTATGCATGTCGAATAGCCGCATCTCTCGCAAGATCTGTTCAATCGTCAACGAAGAACATGTGTGTGAACTTTGACGAGCAAAGACCTACACTGCGACTTGTATGCACACCTGTCCAGTAGGGCAAGCGTCGCATAAAGGCGGGTTACCGCTGCAGACAACGCAATCGCGGTTCAGGAGGGTATCAGTGACCATTATCGACGATATAGTCGGCGTGTTGAGAGGAGATATACGGGTGCACTCGCAGGTGCGATACCTGGAAGTCTGCGGGAAGCTCGAGACTTCGCGTGGAGTGTTCAGTTTGGTATGCCGACAGTGTCCCTGCGAGGGATCAACCGAAGATGACTTCGGGCGTAAGCTAGGAGTAGTGTGCAATTCTCTTATATGAGGACCAAGGCAACCTCAGTCCCACGCAGAGGTTGACCAATACGTTGCCCAGTGATCGTTTGTCGGCGCATCGATCTACCTGTTGTCGTGTTCACTGTCGGTATCAATAACCGTGTAGCTCAAATGCACTCATGGCGCATTGATAACTCATGCTGCCGGGTAGCAGTGATCTTTGACTGAATCACATCGGCAAAGTTACGCCTGTATAGTCGGTCTGCGCCTGTCAGTCGTGCTCATCGGACTCTTCTCGGTCGGTCCCCCAAACACGGGATTCAGAAGACCTCCAGTCTACTTCGAAAACGTAGAAGAATAAGGGTGGAAGAAGGCGTCCAGCCTCTGTGTGAGTCGGCGGAGAGGTGTTCGTGTAGAACAAATGGCAAGTGGAAGCACGAAGCAACATGCTCGCGCCGGGTCGCGCGTTCGGGGCATCCACATGCACGCGCGCCTCGTGATCGTTATCCCTTCCTCACCGCCAATTTTCTCGACTTACTTGGGGACAGACATACACTCACACAGTCAGATTGCAAGTATCGGCACGTCAACGCGTCAAATTCGTCAGAAAAGCACAGGCCGATGATGAGAGGACAATATAAATACTAAGTAACTGTAAGAACGGCACGACTCCCTCCTAAACAGAAACGCGGGCGCGTAGACGGAAGAGAGGTTTCAAGCGGGTAAGGAAACACGACACGAATTCATCCTTGAGAGGCTAAGATGAGAGGACTACGAGAGGGGAAAGAAACCAAGAGCACACTATTCGGACGAAGCGAAGTGGCATAGACACGACGGGTACCGGCAAAGGATGGACAGGGAAGAGGATGATTGAGCCCAGAGAATATGGAGATAGTATGGGTGTGTGGGGTGGAGGGGTAGGTAGATGGATAGGAGGGGAGGAAGGGGAGGTCAGTAGGTGTATCCATTCAGCGACGAAGGTAGCAAGCGGGTAAGGAGCGTGAAGAAGCGGGAGACACGGGGGTATTCTCGACAGAACAACAGACGGAAGAGGGATACACTTGGGTGGGCGTACAGGTCAGGCATAGCAAGGTCGGGACAGGACGTAAGATCGTCAAAGCAGGTCAAAGGAATAGGAGACTGGACGTCTTCACAAGCTCCAGTTCAGTCCTACAGCCTCTGCCCGTTCCGATCGAAGCCCAACGGATAACTCGCCAGATCGCTCGTGAGCGCAAGCGTATCCAGACTTGCCCGGACCCTTCCGTCCGCGCCAACCTTCCTCTCCCTCGGTCGCGCCTCCTGCGCTCCCGTACTTTCTTCGCTACCGAGCCCATGGCCCAAACTGTTCGTCGCCTGCTGCTGGATCTCGAACGCAAAGCCACCGAGGCCGGTGCTGACGTTGCTCATCTCGCTACCGGTGCTCATGCCCAGTTGCCGCCGGTCCGGCGGCGGCGGGAGTGTGTCTTCCTGCGCTTTGGCCATACTCTGGCCGAACGAAGGACTGTGCGCGGTTGCGGAGGTCGGCGAGCGGGGTGGACGCGCGGATATTGGGCTGGGCGGCACGAAGGGGAATCCCTCGAGAATGCTGTCCGCGCGACCGACGCTAACGCCGCTCGCCATCGTGCTCATGCTGTTGCGGTTCAACACACGCGGTGGTTCGAGCTCATCGCTTCCCAGCGCACTCTCACGAGCCGCGAGTTGGGCCGCACGCGCGGCCTGAACCTCGGCCATTGCCCTGTCCTGTTCGCGGCTGAAGTGGCCTCCAGGATTCGAGCTTCCATTGCTGCTCCCGCTGACATTCGACAAAGCGGACGGCGAGACCAGACGCGCGCTCGTAAGACGGTAGGCATCCTTCCCGCGCGCACCGCCGACCGAAGAGCTCATTGCGGGTGTATGCACGGGCGTAGCGAAGCCGAGTTGTACACGGCTGGCACCGACGAGTTCAGCGCCAATCACACTGGCCGCCTGCGTAAGGTTGCTGACAGGGCGCTGGCGCGCGCCGCCGGAGATATCGGGTGTGTAGACCGTCTGTTGTCCATCCTCATCGGACGTCTCGGGCTCGTGGTCGTGATGAGAACCAGGGTTGGTGCCGAAAGTCGCTGATGTGCCATATGTTGCGCGGGACAAGCGGGTGGGCGAGCGCGGCTCAGGCGACGAGTGCGAATCGTGGAAGGGATCACCGTGCCCGCCTTCAGATTCGTCGCCTTCCGGCGCCTCGCGGACGACGTCTTGCGGGCCGAAGCTGGTCGCTGCAAGCGGCGAACGCGTCGGTTGACGGATGCTTCCAGGACCTGGGCGAAGCAGATCTTGACTCTGGGCGAACGAGCCGGCAGCAGACGAGCCTGTTGCAAGCGGCGTAGGGATCGCATCCGCTCGCATAGCGCCGACGACATGGCGCTGGGACTGAGTGATAATCACCGCGTCAAGATCAGAGGCGAAGGAGGCGTTCGTAATGTAGCTGTTGTCCGACATGCGACGGGCGTGTCCCTGCTGCTGCGTACTGCCCACAGACGAGTCACGGGATACGTTGAGATGGTCCATGTTGAGAGCATGAGCGCGAGGCGGCTGGAGGGACGAGGCTTGGGAAGAACGAGAGCCGGCGTCGAGGGCGATGGGGATCACGTTTGTACCCTGAGATGCGGCGCTTGTGGTGGTCATGATACTCCTGTCGTCGCCGAATGGATTTCCGCGCTGGAGCTGAGACGAGCGCTGGGAGTTTCCCCCGTGTGCCTGGCCGTAGCTGTTGAGATCGAGGATGGTGGTGGCGGTGTCGTACGGCTCGCCCGTCGTCGTCGTCATCACCGGGTTCTCCCGCTGAGCCGCATCTGAGAGAGCAAGGATACGCGGGGAGATGGGCGTCGGCTTCTCCATCGGGTCCGGGCGGCGCAGCACCGTGTCTGCGGGCGCGGGGATGTCCTTGGGCTCATCAACGGCAGGCACGGCCGCGGCAAGCTTGGCGGCCTGCTTGCGGCGCCAGTACAGGTAGCCGACGGCGACGAGAATGCAGAAGATGAGGATGCCGACCACGGCACCCGCGACGGCACCGGCCGAGACGCCCTTGGAGGACGAGGACGTCGACGGGTCGACGCACGTGAAGCTCGCACATGCCGTGCAGCTCCTGCATCGATTATTAGAAATGCCCTGGCCAAATGTACGATAATCAAACGTACGTCGACGTTTGGATACACTGCTGACCGGCGGAGCAGGCACAGGGTGGGGGAGAGCCGCTGCAAACGACGCATTCGCGTTTGGACAGAAGGCTATCGATACGCATTTCGTTTTGCGTGTATCGGGGTTATGTTGAGTTGGATTTCAAAGGAGTGTGGGCGGATAAGACGAGATCCTTGTTCAGGCGACGAAGATAGAGGCGGCCAGCGCGGGACAAGAGTACAGCTAGTAGAGCTAAAGCACACCGTCCTCGCCGTGCAGAACCAAACCTCGAGAGCCTTGACAACAAGAGTGGTCGAGGCCCGCCTCCCATCAATTGCCACGCAGTTACCGGCTTTCTTTCCCGAACCCTCCCTCCTTTGGGTTTTCTCCCCTCGCGACAAACATACCTCGGCCGCCTCTGGGCCTTGTACGAGCGCCTACAATATAATTTTCTGCCTTCTTGGTCGTCCTTTGCCCGCCGCCAAACGTCCATCGTTGACGTGCAAAACCCGAACATACACCCCAGACGCTGCCGCAGCAGCTAGCGCAGCCACCCCATACCGTATCCCGCCTCTCAGTCTCACGCCCATCGCGCACGAGCTACACCAGTTCCAGTCCTCGTTCCTTGTTCGTACGCCCATCCGGTACAGCGGGAGATGGTCTGATGGCTCGGCGGCAGACTCTCACCATCCGTCATCTCGAAGCGCGCAGGCCTGAACTGGGGTGCCTGGAGGCTATAGAAGGTCGTTGAACGCTGGAGGCGCTGCGATTGAACGGAGTACGCTGTGTTTCGCCCTGATCCACCGCTTTCCCCAACGTGAGTCTATTGGTGGAAGAAGGCAAGCCAAGTTCTGAACTGCCAGACGCCAGGGATCAAGCAATGTACCGCAGGCACGCGTAACTTGAAACAGTGCACCCTAGGATGCGTGCTAGAAGTCTGCCATGGACTCCTGGCAACTAAGCTGACTGGAAGCGTGAGCTGTATCGTCAAGCGTCCTCGCTCTCGCCTTCTCTCCGGCGTGGTCTTTGCCGCCCGAAAGGCGCCCTTCCAAGTCCGACGGCGGCCCTCCGAGTCTACCGGGGCATCGACAGAACGAATGCTGCCTCCCGCATACAGATAGAAGGCCATTCGTGATTATCACGCTGACGAACAGCCCGAGGCTCCCAGCGTCAAGTATCACTCTATCTGCCCCGAGCATACAGAACGCATCGCGTGCGAACATGTGAGCAGCCGAGTTATCCCTGTTTATCGACACCGACATACCGTGCTGGGACGTTGTGCTCTCATGAATACGGGCAAGACCAGCTCCGCAACGAGGCCCAAGCGTGAAGCGACGCCGGGACACCATCGACACTGGAACTTGCTGCAAGCCTGCCGATTAGTGGCTGTTCTTGCCGTAGCCGGTCATCCCTGGGTATGTTGCAAGACAAGATTCGACTATAATGGCACCGCTGACGAACATCAAAGCCAGCCTCAAAACATCATCTTCCCGACCCGCCGATGTATATGCTTCTCCATATCGGCGCACTGGCTCTCAGGATAGCCCTCCTCCATCAAAACATGAACGGCCCGTATACAGCGATATAAGCTTCAGAGCTCACATATCTCGATCGCAATGGCGCTCTTCCCGTCCTCGCAAGCTTTTACTATGCTGTTCTACCCTTCCGCACCAAGAACACACTCGGTCGTTTCTACTGCGCGATCGGCGGCCCGAGCTGTTAGCGATCCGAAAGACGGACCGATAAAGCAACTGTTGAACTCGACTTCCTTCTCCCGCGTAGACGTGCGTGCCCAGGTACAGAGTCGTCTGTGAACCATCATTCGTCGAGTGCTCATAGATGGACAGTCCTCAGATAACACTCCCCGTCTTCGTAAACCCACTCGAAAGGGTTCTCTAGCATCGTTGCGAGAGCGTTTCACACCTATGATGGTCAAACTTCGCGAGGTTCGCAGACCCGCGTAGTCCATCACACAACCAGAACTGACGTCCAAGTACAGAGAACCTATATCCCGAACGCGATCTGATGTCCATTCCCTCCTATCTACGTTCTGGGCTCAGTCCCTTGAAGTTACCATCGCTGTCTACGAGGCCAGATACGTCTTTGACGTCTGACCGTTGCGCTGAATGGTAGCTCGAGGAGAGCAACCATCGTGATCATACGCTTACAGTCCCTATAATATGCCTCTCTATCTGTCTTCGACCCGTTCTTTGCGCCTCCCCGCGCTGCTGGTGGTCAAGCCTGCTCGCGCTACTACACTCCTTTACCGGTCTCCCTTGCCTGCGAACGCTGTGTATGCTATTACGCAGTGCTATTGAAATACTCTTCATTCGACCTTGACATCCTTGCCGCACCCACACTCCTTCACCCTTCTCACTCTCGACTATGCGCTACGACCGAACCCGCCTCTCCGCCCGTCGACCCGACTGTGTTTCCTGCGGCACCTCTCCCCCGCCTTGCGTGTGTCTCTCAGGTGAGACGTGTATCCAGATCTCCCAGTACGTTCCCATCCATATCTCGATCATTGATGGTGAGCTGACCCGCATACAACAGGAGCTGTTCAGCTTGCGCCTCCTTCACCTGCGTGACCTCCGCAAACCAACCCGTCTTCCCAGTATCCACAGCTGCGGCAAACGCTCAGCTTCCCAACGCCGCGAGCACGCTGAGCGTCAGCGGCGACTCAAGCTCAAGTACGACCCATCATGATGATGGCGCGATCATCGGCGGCTCCGTCGGCGGCGGCCTTGCACTTCTTGCCTTGCTGCTCGCCATGACCGTTTACGGAGTTGTACTGCGCCGAAGGAAGATGCGTGGTATGGGTATGAGGACACGAGGGCCGGTGCATAGACGGTATGGCGCCGGGGACGACTCTGATTCGACGGAACCTGCACTCATGCGTGAGAGCGAGAGGGGTTTTTATTGACCGATTTCGACCGGACTTGGACGATGGACTGAAGTGTGCGTTTACAGTTGTAACTCTATGTTTGTGGTGTATGCGCGAGTGGGCTCATTCAAATGTTACGGTGCACGAATGACGGACCACGAAGCCTCCGCTACGTGGTCCCCAGAGTCTGTCAAATGCAACGCGGGGATGGTGCGTGGACGGCCATTGGCCAGGATATCAAGTAACATCGTGCCTCTAGTCCCTTGGCATGCGTGCACACGGGCTTGGTATACCGCTTTCACTTCTGAATGCTATGCTGTTGGCAACTGTTGCTTGCAGGTTGCATAGTTCTTGTCGTGCAGAACACTGAACAGGCCAAAGTTGGTCCTGACCGTTCATCTCGCTAGAAGTATAGGCCTGGCGAAGTCGACAGTGGCCTGAGAGTTGCAGAGGCGGCCGCGATCAAGTACACATCACGTACGCGGGATATATAACTTACTGGAGGTCAATCCCGCCTTCTATTTTCTGAAACCCCTTGCCCTTGGCTCCCAGTCCCGTATTCTCGTGAACATTATCCCTTCCTTTGTGCGCCCATCCGGCCGGCACATTCGTCGTTGTGAGCGCTGACTCCACTACACATACAGGTCTTACGCTCCTTCATTGAAGATGTACTTCGATAACTTGGCTCGTGCGTCTGGCTGCATCCAATGCGTCGACACCGTGCCCTCTTGCGGCGTCTGTGGCGCCGGCGAGCAGTGTGTCGTGACCTCTCAGTGAGTCCCCACCTTGCACACTCCAAGCTACATCTACTGAAGTGTCTACGCCGACTCTCGCAGAAGCTGCACGGCATGCGCAAGCGCAGCCTGCGTCCCGACCCCCACGTCCGCTACTCCCGTTCAACTTCTGGCGCGGGACACGACATCGACCGAAATCGTCACTCTCACGGATGCCAACGGCACCCCGACGGCCACAGCGACGATGGTCCAATCGTCCGGAAGGACGGCCACACCCGCTTTTGCATACGGTATCATCGCTGGAGGCATAGTCATCCTTGCGATCCTCGGCACGTTCCTCTACTGCACCTGCTACAAGCGCCGTGCCAAGGGAAAGCTGCCGGGCTACCAGAACTTTGGCAGTGAGACCACGTTAGCTGGCGGAGAAAACGACATGCGTCAGGTGAAGAGCATGGAGTGAGCGGGCTGGAGTGGCGCTCTGCATCTATCAGGTGGATGGGGTGACGCGCGGGCGTAGTTATCTCGGTCATGTACTCTGGTATATACAGATGTGATGCTAATGCTGCTACCAAGCACGCCCACCTGAAGACATGTCTGATGGGATAAGAAGAGAAAGCGAGAGATGTGGCGCAGAATTCCATCGCAAATGACTGACCCAACCCTTCATCACGGATTAAACTCAGCCATGATGGTTTTGTGTCGTCAGGAAGGTTGTCATCGGGCGGACGTCGAAAGTCATCTGATCGCGTCATCGCTGATTGTCCACGTATGCCTGTGGGAGCCTCGATTGAGGGAAGGTATACTGTACGCAGAAACGATCCTACACGAATTACTTTGCTTCAGGGGACTACCTATCACACTAAAAGGCAAAGGGCGCGTAAAGATGTAGGATCCGTCCTTGGGGCGGGCGGGCAAATTCTTAAGAAGCCCGTTGAGCGGTATTTTTCACGATTTCAGTATGACGTGAAGGTAGAAAGCGTGATCGTATAGGATGTACAACTAAGAGCCACAGAGGTACAACATGCTTTGACATGACGCAGACAGACTGTAGACCGAAGACCGAAGAAAGAAGACCGAAGGCGATGAGATGGAGAGATGGACGTAGGGATGATCATGAGACGCGCACCGGTGCGCTACGGGTGGTATATATGCTACATGTGAGGTAGATCGAACACGAGAACAGTATGAAGAGCAATGTGGAGGCGTATTCAGGATGAGATGGAGCGAGAAAGACATAGGCTTGGACGAGGATGGGATGGTGTGCGGGTATTATGAATACACATGAGGACGCCGGCCATTACTGCTGAAAGCGATCAAAGTCGAGGTGGGCCGAATATCGGCAGCTCAAGTCCCATCATGGTCGCCTGAACGAGAGCGTCCCTTTCGACTTCGGACAGGACAGGATGCTGCGAAAACATGTTCTGTACGTCCGTCGACAAGTCGAAGGAGGGCCACAAGGGCTGTTGAGTACCAGCCAAGCTGAATATGTCGGCTTCCGGTTTGCCGTTTGTCGTATGTTGCACAGACCAGAAGTTTTCAAAGCCATAATCAAAGTTGCCGCGCATGTTCGTGGGATCTTCTGGCGCAGAAAGCGAAAGGTCTGGGACCCACATCTCGGCGGGAACGTCTGGGGGCGGCAAATGGTTCGGGAGTAATGGAGGCTCGAGAACGGACGATGATGCGACCGGCACGTCGAGCGCTGCCATCGGGGGCTGTGCGGTGTGCTGCGTCGTATGGAAATCTGACGGCAGGTCGTGTGCAGCAGGGAAGTAGGCGGGCTCCGAGTGGCACGAGCCAGGAGACGAATGCGCGGAGGGAGGGAGTGTCGTAGGAGGGCAAGAGTAGATGTTTGTCTAAAGCATCGGTAAGCCCACAGTGATTGGAATGGGAATGATTGGACAACGCACCAAGTGATCCGGTAAAGCGGTGGTAGGCGGGTCTGCGGGATGAGATGCCGAGCGAGGTGGGATCCGGAGACGGTGCCACCGGGCCTCTTCGGAAGCGCCGGAGGGACCAGCCTGGTGCTGCTGTGAGGCTGACGTAGGTACCTCGTAGGGCTGAGCGCCACGGCGACGATGTGCGGGCGGCGGGGCGGTGCCATGGTAAAACTCGGAGAAGTTTTCCCCACGCCATTGCTCGCCAGCTACAAGGTCTGCAGAGCTAGGGGAGGATTCCTTGCTCGCCTTCTTGCCGCGACCATTCCGTTGCTTGGGCGTATACTTATACTGAGGGTGCTTCTCCTGGTGCTCCCGAAGCCGGGACATCGCCTTTGTACGCCACACCGTCTTGCACTCCTCCGGCATGATGTTCCATATCTCGCCGGCGATCACGGACAAGTGCTGCTGCTTCTTCTGGATCTTTTGGAGAGCGAACTTCGTATCCTTGATCAAGTCGCTGCGGAAGATCATGAAGGCATTTGGCGGACGTGGGACTCTAGCGGGAGCATCGTCATGGTCGACGATGCGGCGAGTACGCTTGCGCGGTTCGGCGAGAGGTGTGGCGGACGCGTCAAGCTTGAAGTCGGGTGACTGGGAGGACAAGAAGTTCTGGAGGTCTGGGGAAGGGATATGTCTCCGCGATGCTACCCATTGCGCGATAAGTGCTTTTGTCAACACGAAAGGTTTTTCGAAAGAGATCGAAGATGCTGGTCGAGTGGCGGCTGAGTAAGACGAGAGGCCTTGCGGCATGGTCGGGTTCAGAGTAGCTGTAATCACACGTGAGCGGCCTGCGAAAAGGAAGGCACGAGGCACTGCACGCACCCGTAAAGGACATGTTGATGAGCGCGGAGAGTCGGGCCGGATAAGTCGCGAAAGTCAAGCGAAGGTCGATTCCTCGTCGTATGCTACAGCGCCAGGCAAGCAGACAAACAAGGGTAGTCGGGCGTAAGAGCGGGGTCGCTGACTGGAGAGCGCCGATGGCGATTCCATCGTCTTATACGCCTAGTAGGCCGATGCGAGAAAGGACGTTGTGGCAGCACAACGTGTACGGAAGTACCCGTACACGTGTGGGCGTGCAAAGGAGGATGTGACTGTAGCGCGGGGTGAATTCTGCAAGCGCAGGGGAAAGTGTGAATATTAGCCGCACGAGGCTGAACGGGGCCGCTGCGAGTGAACTGTTGGTTTGTCCAGCGGCAACGTGTACGGGGCTATCCGAGAGCAGAAGTGACCGGCAGAACACACGAGGTGAAGATGAGGCGCGGGTTTGAAGTCAAGGGGGAGCCGGAGGAGTGCGCCCATAATCGTCTACAGTGGCAGCGTTTGCCGCATCACCGCAGACTCTTGTGACGACAATGGTACACTGTCTGGGAACTGATACTTGGCTTGCTGTGGACACAAAAGTGCATAGGCGGGCCCGAGGTACGTCTTCAGCACAACGTGGTACGCCTTGAGGCATCACGTCGCGCCTCGTTTCAAGACACGAGGCGGCGCTTGCAGGTGACGGTGCCGCGGGCGACGCATTATACGATTGTGGGCGGCAAGACTTGGGCGTGAGGAAGAAATACCACTCCAGGCGGTGCGAGCAGGAGTGCCAGAGGCGCGTTCTATGGTGGTGGTGGTAACGAAGTCTGAGGCCTGAGGGGTAGCGAGTAACGTCCGTGGTCGGAATAATCCTTGTCCAGGAACTATTTGATCTACCCGGCAGACCGGCGCGACGAGAACAAAGGAAGCCAGCACAGGCACCTCAGAAATCCCAGACCATGGAGTGCGCTTGCCTGCTTCGTAGCGCAAATGCCAGGCGGACGGACTCGTATTTAGTATGTATAGAGGAAGTAGCCCGGCAAGGCCGGTCTCGAGAGGAATTACAGAAAGGACAGGAGAAGTCGCTGACTAACTAGATAAATCGTGTGCCAGACTTCTGGCGTAAAGATTAGAGTATTCGTACAATAACATAGGTAAGGGCTGCTAGTTCGTGTCATAGTGTTATGAGCCACGTCTGTAACCCACGATCTAGTTAACGTCTGATTGGTCAGCTGGAATGTAATACACCAGAGTCATGAGTACTGACCGAATCTTTGTATCGTGAATTCAAGAGGTACGTGCATCTCGTATCTGACCTGTCTATGACCGCAGCCAGATACGCCCTCCAGCTCCTGCCGCTTTGCCAATCCTGTTCATGAAAGCCAAGCCTTCCTTCTCCTCAACGAGTGCCTCTGCGACAATTTGAGATACCCTCTGAGCGTCAAGGGTGTGAAGTCCGTCAAAGAGACGTGCGGCTGCCGTTGCAGGTGTGGCAGTCGGTCCGAGAGGATAGTGAACCCATTCTATCGACGAGGCCGAGGCCATGAGTGCAAGAAGCGGCGAATCGTCGCATGCCATCAGCCCGACCTTCGTCTTTCCCTCGGAGCCGCCGCCCTCTAATAATGACAGGAAAGCATCATGCGAGATCGCATCCTCAGTGGTGGCCTCAGTTGGAACGCGATGTACGAGTAGAACAGGTACGCCCGGTGCGTAATGTCGATACTTCATCCCGGGTGTTTGTGGAGCCTTTTCCTGCTGTTCATCCGTGTAGTCCCTCCTGTGCACAAGCACCTTCACACCCGCAACCCCATTCTCGACCAGAACCCGTTGGATATCCTCAACCGTCACACCGCCCGGTCGCAACACACGAATGTTCCCGTCTTCTCCCAATCCATCCACCACAGTGCTCTCAAGGCCCACATCGCATGCACCACCGTCAAGAATGAGCTTGAGCTTCCCCGATGCACCGAGATCGGCGGCGACGTGTGCAGCACGCGTTGGACTAGGTTTCCCACTCGTATTCGCGCTTGGAGCGGCGACAGGTGTATTCGCGCGCGCAATGAGCGCTCTGGCGACGGGATGTGACGGCATACGGACAGCCACGGTCGATTGGCCAGCCGTGATCGTGGAAGGTATGTGCGCAGGTGCAGGGAATAGCATTGTGAGAGGTCCGGGCCAGAAGGCTCGCATGAGCGCCTTGTACGCAGGAGAAGGAGTGTACGATGAGGTTGAAGGAAGCAGTTCAGACAGCATGGACTGTGACGAGACGTGTACGATGAGTGGGTTGTCTGCGGGTCTGCCTTTGGTGGAGAATATTCTGGACGATGCGGTAGCGTTCAAGGCATCGGCGCCTAGTCCATACACGGTTTCAGTTGGGAAGACTACGACATCGTGTTGTTGTATTATTCTAGCAGCATCGTTGATCGCCTTCTCAGTGGTAGGATCTAAGAATACGGGGTCTTCGGACGTGGTAAATGATATCGAGCCTGGGCGGCAGAGTAGCACGTCCGCCGGCGCGGGCGTAGAAGAGGTGGATGCGAATGAGCCCATGTTGAACAGAAGTCTAGAGATATATGATACAGTCGTCAGGGAAGTGGCGAGTCTAGTTTGCATGCACTTGAGCGCGCCTCGCAGCGCGCAAGCCGAGATAACGCAGCAAAATGTTTTGATCGTGGCGGTAGACAAGTCGCGTGTCGGGATTTGTTGCGCGAAAACGCTGGCCCGGACCTTGCATGTAACCGCCAGCTACACACATCATGTCGTTGCCGTTCCGACGTCAAATAGCCCGGCTTCATCTTACTCTTCTACCGCCATGAGGGACTCTGAATTCGAGCGGCTCGTACCCGATGCTGAGCGCGGCGGCGCCATCAATGACCGCTCTACGCTGACGAGCACGGAGCTCGTCTGGCGCGCTGCTTTCACGCGCCTCCGCGACCTCGGCTTCATTCTGCGAGATAGATACTCACCTGACTGGGTGCCCAGCTGGGTCAAGGAAGGCTTCGATGACGCGTGGCTTGAAGAGCGAGACTTCCTGTGGGGAGCATACGACGACGGCATCGCAATAGAACATGCAACAACTCTTGACGCGACACGAGCCTCTGACGGGCTTGTATGCGCGATACAAATGAAACCTCCAGAGGCGGAATCTCTCCCCATCCTACGCTTTCTGTCTCGCCCGGAGATCATCAGCGACCCTCGTAATCATGCGTGTCCTGTACTCGCCGAGATGCCTCTGGATGAATGGACGCCTGCTCGTGTTGTCGTGTATCCACTGGCCCGCGACTGGCGACTGCCTCCCATGCGCCTTGTAGCCGATGCTCTGCAATTCTGTGACCAGATGCTCGAAGGCTTGACGTTCTTACATGAACATAACATCGCTCATCGCGACATTGCCGCCAGGAACATCATGATGGACCCGTCAGCCCTCTTTCCTCAAGGTGTGAACCCCCTTGCCACCTTCACTCGCATACCCGTGCCGGAGCGGAAACCCAAATACGACCGCGTGGATGTCTACTCTCAGATGAAATACTGGTTGATCGACTTCGGCCTCAGCACCATGTTCGCGAGCAAGGCCGAGCGACGCTTCGTCATCTGGGAAGGAGGGCCGAGAGATATGCCGGAGTGCTGGGAAGTGGATGCACAGGGCGAGAAACAGCCCAACAGGCCATATGATGCCTTTAAAGCAGATATGTACTCCTTGGGAAAGCTGTTCCAGCGATACTTTGCCTCTGTGAGCGTGCTTTCTCGTTGTCGTCGCGTATACCGCTGATACTCGCTTCCAGAGTATACCTGAGCTCCGACCGCTAATCTCGGCTATGACTTCGCCCTCGCCTGATGCTCGCCCCGAGTGCGCGACTGCATTGCGAGCGTTTCGCACACTGGCCCACGAGCTGCCCCGCCGCCGCCTACTCCGCGGTATCCCGAATGCAGTCCAGTTGGACTGGCAACCCTGGAGCGGGTGCGATACCCCATTTTCCTCTCCTCCTGATTAATGTTGATGGCAAACTCCTTAGAGCCGATGCCATGAGTCAGGCGATGTTCAATTGGGTGGACTACTGGAGGTGCGCGGCCAAGTTTTGGTGGAGGGCACCGCCCCTTCCGGTCGGAGGCGCACCAGACATTCGCAGGTAGCCAGTCGTGATGGAGGGATGACATGCTGGGCGCATGATACATACTATGGGCTCATCCGTCTTACTGTATTCACCCGCAGTCTTACTGTATTCACCCGCAGTCTTACTGTATTCACCCGCAGTGCATATGGAGACCATACTTGTCACATCTCTATGCACGAGATGGTCATAAGCCATCCGTACAGATCTCCAGCGATCGCCGTGGGTATGTTTACGTGACCCTCCGTACGCGAAAGTGCTTCACGCGGCTGATTGTAATTGGCATGGAATGATCCGAGACGTTGGGATACAACTCGGATAACCTCGTGTAAATTAAGGTATCGGACGAAGACGATTTGGATATGAGACCGAAAGCAGGTATCAATAGAAGGCAATGGTGTGTAACAAACTATGTGGGTGCCTCTCCTGGTGTGCCTGTATAATGCCAGGCATATCCTCGTCGACGTCTTCCGATGCCTCGATCTGTGAGTTTGTGAGCGAATGTGTCATACGGGAGCTGTTGTAACCTACTGCATTGGCAAGATCAAGGATGGCTCGTCCCGCAATAGCCGCTTCTTCGTGGTTATCCTTGATCTCGATGTTGATAACGTGGACCACGCGATTGAATTGGCTACCCTTCGCAAGCAGGTCTGAGAATGCGTGAAATCAATAGCGCGAAAGGTATACCAGGATGACTGACCTTCACAGACGCTGTCGAAGCACCGTTCCTCGCAAGTAATGACGACGTCTGCGACGGTCGACATCTGCTGCCAGCGTTCGGGTGCGCGCTTCAACTTACGATTCCGGTCCAGCATCTGCAACAAGCCGTTCGCAGTATACCTGGGTGGGTAGCTTCAGATGGAGTTCTCCTCGCAGCGGTTCAGTAACAAACAGTCGTGGGTCTTTATTGTAAAGCTCTTCGTAGATGTCATTGTACGGTGTACCAAACTCGTAGATGTTGGGCTTATCGACCGAAGGGCCCGGTAAGCGGACCATGGAACCAGTACCGGATGAGATGACACGAAATCCTGCTTTTCTTCAAAAACGTCAATTATATGGCACACGAAAATATTCGTTTAGTACATACGACAAGATATAATGGCCTTCCATTGATCGGTTCTGTAAGCTGTAATTAGATGAACTCCGTGGTCAAAATCCACTTCAAATCACCTGATTGCTAGCACAAACCACACAGAAGAGAGGGCGCGTTTTGTGAGGGAAAGGCGCTCCGGAGTCTGACGTGGCAACGAATTGTGACGGTCCTGCAACCGCCGCTTGAGGGAATTGCTGGACAACGGTCTCTCCTGCTTGTACGAAGGGTTGAGGCGGTGTCGAGTTGTTTGGCGTATGTAAGTTGCTTGCGGGCTGCGAAGCTCCATTATACACCCCGTAAGGATTTGGTTGCGGTGTATTTGATGCCGAGCGCCGTGGATCTGCGGCCTGAGCTCGTGCTAATCGGGGATCACGAGTTCTCCTAGGGTCCATCTAAAGAATAACTTGTGAGTAGATAACTCTCTCAGCGGTTTGAAGATGGCCTCAGCAGTATCCAGAACATCACAGTCATCGTACGAACCCAGCATCTGGTTGATTTGAGCGGGTTTCGTGCAGTTTCCACTCTGAATCATCACCGGCAAAGTCCAATACAGAGCTTTACCTACTTTATTGCCTCACTAAGCTCTCGTGTATACTTCTATAGCACGTCAATGTGCAGTTGCGCTACCAGGTGATCTCGTGTGGCGGTGGCGGTTAGTCAATAGCGATGGTGGTGGTTGAGAACTTTGATAACCCGGAGTCTGGTCTGTTAACTCTGAAATTGACTGGTGTGGGAATGCAATGCCGACCGGCATGTCATCTGATAAACCTTATCAAGGGATATCGAACCTTTTTTTCACTTTCGGTTGAGCCAGTGAGGCATACGAGGCTCAACAGTTTCGTGTGATGTAAGTTAGATAGGAGCTTATTTCTGAATCTATTCATGCAGACGGCTTGGCATAAATAAGTTCGGGTTATGTGCTATATCATTTGAGGCGGCGGCATTCGCGTTTGTGGGACTCCTTCCAATCACTATCGGTGGCCATTAGAAATGCTCAGGTCATATGGCTGTTAAAAGCCCTACACACCTAAGTTGACAAGTCTTTGTACAGTAGAAGGCCGATCCACATCCTTTGCATATTTGCAGCGCTTTGCAGGAAGGTGTAGTGTGATACTGACACAGGCGCCAGGAGCAGTATCTCGTGCGCGCTCTTTCGTACCCCTTGCGCATCTCCTCCTCGTCTACACCGAGTGCTTTATTCAGTTGTTCCCAGACATCGAGGAGAAACACAATTAAATCCGGTAGGTTTGACTCGAACGATGTCTTGCGCAACTCGAGAAGCACGCTGTACCCGCTAGTTCGAGCAGCATCGCTCAGTTCGCGAATGACTTTCCCGGGAATTCCAGAATCTGAGCGGCCACGCGATCGAATGTTGTAGGTCCACCGGTCGAAAGTGTCGCTATAGGCCGCCTCGTATTTTTCTGACCGGACGATTGTATGAGCGTCATCTTCACAATGAAGCTATTCGCATCGCCGTACTCAATAACGATGGCGTCCCAGATTTAGCAACCTGTATAGCGACCAGTATGCCATGGACAAGAATGGAATAGATATCGGCGCCGTTTACGGTTGATGGTGCACGTATACCGGTGGCCAAACCTTCGGCGATGTTACTGTGAGTTTTGAAAAGATGCCGTCAGAATGTGCGTTTCGGGAGCAGCATCAACAGCTACTGACACTAGAATTCCTGAACAAGCACCCCATTTCCTTAACTGGCGCTCGCCCCACATCTGCTTTCCCGAAGGCAATGAAGTCTGTGGGTCGCGTCCTTTTCGAAGCGCACGGGCCACAGATGCAGACACGGGGAGTTTGGCATACGCAACAGAAAGAGCCGAGTTGGCATTAGAAAGGACCTCCATGAAGTATAACGAATTGCTCAGCGCATCGCCGGCTATCTCCGGTAGCTCGTTGAGGGAGCGATTTAATTTCGTCAGGACGGCGTCTGCTCCAATCTCTCTGACGAAGACGTCATCGATAAACCTCTGCCTCTCGAGGTCATCATGAGTGTTCTGTATGACCGTGAACGTTGCCTCAAGAGCGTGATTGTCGGGTTGGGCATCCCCGAAGGGCAGGACCCACCAAGTCCATAGCGCTACATGCGCTATCTTGCTCGAGTTGAGAGTCCTTATAGCGGAGTCGTCTCTAGGCGTAATCGAATCTGTGAGTTGAAGGTTTGACTGCATACATGGTGAGGCGCACCCTTGTCCTTGAGTAGAAGCGATCATCACGAGTGAGGTCGCAAGACTCTGTATGTATCTAAGGGTGCCATATCTGGAGGGACCAGTGAGTGACCCGCTGATGACCGCGTCGCTGTCTGCCATTATCTGTGCACGGTGCTGCCACACCATCTCCCAGAGGACCCGAGATTCCGTAACAATCCGTGCCACCCATGTGGCGGGTGGTGTACGGACTTGGACATCTCCTTCCTCCACCAGGACGGTACCATGCCACCATATATGAACGAACGAGCACAGGCAACCGAATGCACTATCCCGTTCATCCTGCACGGACAGAAGATACCACGTGAGTAAGGTTCATGGCATTCGCAGAACAGGACTTACCGAGGTAAGGGCCCAGAAGACGGAAGAACCGGCATACTCCAGAAGTGTGCAAGGGAAATTGGTAGACAGACAAGCCTCCCAAAAATGCTGTACCCAGAAAGACTTAAGCTCTTGAGCAGGGACTCCCGGCTCATTGAGAATCATTCCCAGGTGAGTATCGAGCACGACAAGTACGCTCGAGGGAAACCGAAGATCGGCATCGCTGAGCTCCGACACACTTCTGGCTTCGTTAGCCTGGCGTAGGATATTCTCAAGAGCGGAGTTGCACGCTTTCAAGATATCAACAGGGGCCGTACTCATGGCCTTTGTGATCTCTTCCTTGTCGTACGACCTGATCCGTTCACTAGATGGGGTTGACATAGCGACGGAATTCCACACGGCCCGGGCCAACTCCTCGAATGCTCCAGCGATGCCTCCGGCAAACTCTCAGTCCTGTCGATGTGGTCTAGTAGACAAAGATGTGCGTATGAGAAGATCAAGCACAGGTAGTAAGGCAGCGTGTCTCAGTGCTTGGGTAAGATCGGAGAGTCACGACGATCGTGGTCGTGGGTCAAGATGGTGATAGCGTGTTGTCTGTGGGAATGCCGCCTCGTGCAGTGCATCACGAATCGATATAAGGCTCGGTGATTAATGCCCCGGCTACTTTTAACGCCGTTAATTAACGGTAGGGTGAGGGTTAGGTTAATTAACCATGTTAATAAACCTGTTAAAAATGTAAACCCAGGCACACCCCTTCTACGGATAAGCAGCGTGCGGGACAGCGTCGCCAACGGATCGCGGGCTGGAT